ATATATATATAAATATATATATATAAATCTATAAAATAAGGCTCTTCGCAAACGGCTGGACTGAATGAGCTGAATTTTTTTAAGGGAACCATTGGCTGTCAGTGGGTAATATAGGCTTTAAAAAATTCGACATTTTTTTCTCCAAAAATATTTTTTTATTTGTTTTTTTCCACGGGCAACGCCGGGCACTCCAGATAGTATAACTGTAAAGCAATAATCAGAGCAGCTCCTTAGTTTTAATATTTGTTAATACAAATTGTTTCGGATTGCTCCTCTTCAGTTAATAAACATAAATATGCATATTTGAGCGAAGAGCTTTATTATTTAGATATAAATCCATGAGGCAAAGATATGAGGGTACGTAAAGTTGCAATTTCATACAGAAACCTATATTTGAGAGTAATGTTTTGCTTATCATCACTTTGTGGGAAGAAAACTTTTTTAATTAACAATTAAATTTCAATTATATAGTAGGTAATTAATATTTTAAAAAATAAAAATAATCGTTAATTTAATATGGGGTTAAAATTTCCAAATACTTTTTTATATAATTTGGATCTGTTTGCCTAGGAAAGTTTCGTCAGCTATGGCTAGGTTCAGGATATACATGTTGGTAACCGTGTGCATCTTAGAGAACCTTAGAACCACGTAGATAACAAGAGAGTTTCCTAAACATAGAGAAACGTAGATAACAAGAGAGTTCCCTAAACATAGAGAACCTTAGAACCACGTAGATAACAAGAGAGTTTCCTAAACATAGAGAACATTAGAACCACGTAGATAACTAGAGAGTTCCCTAAACATAGAGAACATTAGAACCACGTAGATAACAAGAGAGTTCCCTAAACATAGAGAACATTAGAACCATGGAGATAACTAGTGAGTTCCAGAAACATAGAGAACATTAGAACCACGTATATAACAAGAGAGTTTCCTAAACATAGAGAACATTAGAACCATAGAGATAACTAGTGAGAAAGATAGAAAGCTCCCTTAATATAGAGAATATATAGAGTTTAACTACTTCTTGCCACAAACTAACTCTGTGTGCCCAAAAAACGCAATATTTACTCACCAAGGAGTCCCAGTAAACAGATGAGACCGTAGAATATCTGTATAATAGACATAACTGGGGGAGGGAGGGTGGATGGAGGGTGGTTGGAGGAGCAGAGAGCAGATAGGTTGGAGATATTATGCATCTCTACTGGAACATCACACAAACTCAGGTTCAAGTTCAGCATATGCTCCTGGATAGAGTAAAATATAGAACTGGATACTCACTACAAAGTTTAATTTTATTGTCCCAATATCTTCGCAACCTACTATATATTTGTTACTTCAAACGTTAACTAGTTGATCTGACGATATGCTTACTTAGAAATATCAAAGATATAATGATTAATGATAAAATAAATTAGAAATTATGAGGAGATTTATCCGTGACTGAGATATTTACAAAAACAAGATGCTAATGTAAGCAGATTTTAACAAGGAATGGAATATTTTCATCTTATAAAACTTGCTTTTTGCAAGGCCACAAACTCCGATTTCCTAATTTCTCTATTTCTTTGCAACCTGATCATATTCCAAACCATGAAATATGTAAGATTTAAATAGTTTAAGATTGAGAAAGGTTTACACCATCAGGTGGAAAAGATATAGGGGATTGAAAAAAATTAAGGCGGTGGCAAAAACTCAGTTCTTTTATATCGCTAAAAAAATCTAGCACGTTTCAGGCACTTTCATAATCCTCATTTAAAATGGCCAAACTATTGTTTTAATAAGATTTAGATTTGGATTAATTCTGGAGGATTTGCATAGTGAAGATCTTCTAGTTTTTTGACAAATAACTATCAATCTAACTTTTTCATGAAAAGTTTATTGAAGTCAAACGACTGCCAAAAACTGGGATTTAATCACTTTTATTGAAATAATTTTTAAAAATGAAATTTGTCTAAAAATCCTATTTTTTTCTAATTAAAATATTTTCGAGGTGTTCCGAAGTAATACACACACATTCTTGTATATTAGGGGGAATTACATTTGTTTATTATCTTAATTCAATTAATTAGCAGGTCCGACAAGATTAATTGAATATATAATGTATATACTGCTTAATATTCAATATTCACTTTTCACGGGATAAATGAATTTGTCTGCTTGGTAATAACATTTGGTTGAAAGGGATAGATTTCGTAATAAACCTTATGAAATAAAATGTCATGAATTGCTAAATTTACGACAAAAATTGCCTAATCATGCATATAACATATAAATTATGAATTTGAGGACTATGTTTTTTCTATTTCTTATATCTAGACTTCAATGTTAATAATAGTAAATAATCTAAGGCATGTCTTTAAATAAACTTTAATTAAAAATTGTACCGACAGGGTCTTTAAAGGGAGAGTTCGCGAAAAATGAAAGGGGGTATAGGCTAATGCGATAAAAAAGCGCTTTTGATCGCTACTAATCTTACTTCTATCTGTTGCGTCTATAAGGAGAAAATTGTTAAAGACGTCTCATACCGAATAACATGGCGTCCATACAAATTGAGAAAATTGCAACATATGACTTAGACCGTAAAAAATCAATTTAATTTCAAACAAGTCATCGATTATCTTTCGCCACATTTGTATATATTTGATATTTCATACTAGTTTTGATTTTGTTTTTTTTAAATTATATTTAGCTTACAACTTGTTTTCGAATATTCCTGGAAAATATAAAAATGTCGTCTTCATTGCCAAAAATCCTCGAAACAGGAAAAAATGTTTTTATAAGTAACTCTCAGATCATAACAATTAAAACATATTATGAAAAAGATAATCGATGACTATAGGTTGTAATATCTGAATGATTTGTTTGAAATTAAATTGATTTTTACGGTCTAAGTCGTATGTTGAAATTTTCTCAATTTGTATGGACGCCATGTTATTCGGTATGAGACGTCTTTAACAATTTTCTCCTTATAGACGCAACAGATAAAAGTAAGATTAGTAGCGATCAAAAGCGTTTTTTCATCGCATTAAGCCTATACCCCCTTTCATTTTTCGCGAACACTCCCTTTAATTATATTCTTAACTATATCAAAACATTATTAATTGAATTGGAAATATAGGTCAGGTCATTTATACAGAAAAAGTTATTAATTATTTATCTACATAGTACATTTAGGATTCACATTGTATCATGTAAATGTTTTTTATTAAAGTGAAATTTATAAAGATAAATTTGTTATTTATGCGAAAAGGAATGGAGTCTTTGCCACAAATTCAGTTTTTGTAAAACCTTATTATGTAAACCTTTGATATTTCAAACTTACATTATTTGATCTAATAGCATTCATAGTTTGAAATATTATAGGTCTACGACATTGGGTTGCAACGATATTGAAATTAGAAAATCAGAGTTTTTGGCAAAAACTTAAATCCTTTACTGCGACCAAAGAAATTTAAAAGCAACCCGTGGATGTCTACAAATCAGAAGTAATTGATATTTCACCCATTTTTGAATAGCCTTTAAATTCCCTTTCAGGATCGAAGGAAGAAAACAAATGTTTACCTGAAGCACATACTGCTCAGCTAGAGAAAGTTCTGATACCATTGTGTAGAGTTTTGTTTTTATTTATACAAATTTTTCACAAAATATTTAATACACGTCAACATTGTTCAATGTTCAGACATATTTCTAATTCACGTTATGCCATACAGCTGTAAGGTGTCTATTTGACAGCTAGAGCTGTGCTACAGCTGTAAGGTGTCTATCTGACAACTAGCTGTACTACAGCTGCAAGGTGTCTATCTGACAACTAGCTGTACTACAGCTGTAAGGTGTCTATCTGACAACTAGCTGTACTACAGCTGTAAGGTGTCTATCTGACAACTAGCTGTACAACAGCTGCAAGGTGTCTATCTGACAACTAGCTGTACTACAGCTGTAAGGTGTCTATCTGACAGCTAGCTGTGCTACAGTGTAAATGTATAAGCCGACTATGACTGTAGACTAGTCCCTATATATATCCTCAGCTTTGCTGGTGAAATCTCCTAACGCGGACACACATCACAAATTGAGGATTTTCTCAATATTCCCACTCGCGGATTTTCGGGGATATTTTGAGGAATTTCAAAATTAGTTTTGGGGGATTTGAATCTGTAGTCCGTGGCGTTGCTGGCTGTTAACTTCAGACATGAGATAATATTTCAACTTTTCCTATTTTCCACAATCCCTGTGAAAACTTTATAGATTATTTTCCGTGCAGTTTCTTTCTTCTTTTTTCCTTTTTTTGTAGATTTGCATTTTCATGCACATTCCAGCCCATTCACTGCCAGCACACAAATTCAATCTGAAAAATAAAAAAATAGAACATTTGTTGAAATTAATTCTATTTCACGTTAATCCACGAATTCTGATGAAGTTATGTTTAGACCTCCTGTTTTAGTATCAATTTCTTTCCAGTGAGAAATTATGGAGGGGGGGGGGACTATCCAAATAAACACTTTTTCTTCAAACATAAACTAAACTATGATACAGTGTTAGTATATTCTGCAAAAAGTTTAGAATTTACAGAAGGTGAATAGAGAGGGATAGATTAGACAGGAAACATTTATCTAGAACAGGATACTGAATACATTCATAACATTTATATATATTAAAGGGATTGTCGTACGTAATTTAAACTTATTCTCTTTTTACAGAGTTATGCATCTGTATTTATAATATATTTATATACCTGTATTTACATATATATAAGGTATGCGTGGTATAGAACTTCCTTATTCATTGTTTCACTGAGCTCACTGAGCCCCTGATCTGAGCTTGAATTAAGCCTCAAAACAGAACATATTATTCTTGTTCCTACACCAATGGTGCCTATCAGCTGATTGCCCGTATACCTATCTTGAGATGGGTATACGCGACGGATCCATCCCAGATTAACAACAACAATTTTTTTTCTTCTATTTTTTTAAATTTTCTCTTTTTTATCTTTTATATGTAAATATTTTATAACGTCAATGATGAAAATAAAATATTTTTATATTTGTAAACGGCTCCTGGTTTTATATATACCTTGGTTTTAATATATTCTCTAAGCGTACAAGGTTCAAGTACTTAAAACTGCATTCCTTAAACTCCACAAGAGCACAATCCTTGCATTTTACAAATATTTTGCATTTCCTTCTCTTTACAACTTGTTTAACATATCTTTCAGGTTTCAGCACTTTCCTGTTTTTCACTTAAGATCTTTGAAAAAATTTTCTAAAACTCTTTAAAATTTTATCAGTAATCTTTCATATATGATCAACGATGTTTCTTTTTTCTTAAATTAGCATTAGTTCTTCTCTCTCAAGTCAACGATCAGTGATCATGATGATCTTTCTTTCCTCTCAAATCAATGATCTTTTGAATCTTCCAGTTCCTTCAACAAAACCTTTAATTTTATTTTTCGTATCAACCATTTTTTTCTTTTCAATCAATTTTCTTTTTTATTTCCAAATTACTTAACTTTTTACATTTGAGAAATGTAATTTGAGTTTATTTATTTTGGCTTTGTCTGAATATTTCTTTGTTGTGTTTTCAATCATAAAATATGAATGGAATATTTTACATATATTGCGTAAATGTTTTTTGGAAGTTTTGTCCTTGTTTTTGTTTCTACTGTAAACGATTTGAATACTTTGATATATTGATTATCAAGCAAAAAATTGAATCATCTTGAAATCTAGGCCAAGGGGGAAGGGGGGCTTTCCCCTTTTATGACAAGTTTCTAACGCTAAACTTTAGAACATTAGATCGAAATGCGGGATGTTTAACAAATTATACAATGATTTAAAAGTCTAGGTCTCATCCCCCTCCCAGCCTTGTTTACAGATACAGGATTACCCTCAAATAATGTAACGACGACCTGAAATCATTTGTTTTTGTTCTTCTGCTATAAGTCTTAATAATTCAGATTTTTAAATTCTGAAAAGAAGTGAACAAGAATCCATGAATAATTTCTGTGTACTGTCGTCCCTGCGGTCTTATTCTGTGTGGGTAATTTGTGTTTTATAGAATTGAATTGATACATTTTTTGCATTTTTTGCTGGTTTTTCTACGTCTACATAAAAAGGATGAACTTTAAGTGAACAAATTACATCATTTAGCCACCATATCATTAATCAGAATTAAGTAAACTCTCATTTATTAAACATATTTTGGTGGGATAAATACAAATATTATTCACAACCTTACAAGCAAAACAAAAAGCAATCAAACAAAATCAAAATGGTCGCTTTAATTCACTTTAACGAAATATTTTTCGTTTTATTCTAGCTTTAGATAGTGCCAATTAAGAATGCACAAACTATGGAATCGATAGAACACCGGGTCATGGTCATAGAACAATAATACAGGGGGGGCAAGGGGGCAGTGCCCCCCTAGACATGTAAAGGGGGGGCTATGCCCTCCGCATAGAACTCAGAGCGTTCACACTTTTCAAATCTTAAACTGAAGAGTGAAGAACATAAAAAAATTAGTTTGATGTTTATTCAGTGCACTGAGAAGATTGTATACGTGAACCAGAGCCACCATGACAGAAGTCCGAATGATAAATCTATTTTTAGAATGCACATTCATCCTAATCGGATGGGCGGTATCAGGGATAGCGAAGTAAAACAATTATTTTAAATGCCAAGCCACGAAGGCTGAGTTTTGAGCTAGTAAAAGACCTTTTTTTATTTTTTCAAAATTTAGATTTAATTTACTTTATTCACTGCACCGCCGTTTTGTAATCTTTCTTTTTGTTCCAAACTAGCTGTAGTGCCCGGCGTTGCCCGTGGACTTTTAAAAATCGAACTAAAAAACTAAAAAACAAAAAACATAAGACATAAGACATAAAAACATAAAACAAAAGACATAATTATTTGCTGGAACTTTGTAATTTTTGCATCTCAAAGAATTTCAGTTTAAGTTGAGTTTTTCATTTTCAAAAATGTCTTTTACTATCTCTAGTTTAAATACTAATTATTGCTAACATAACAGTATAATATTATGTCGATTTTTTAGAAACAATGCTTTTTTTCTGCTATTTTTGTTTGAAGGAGAGAATAAGTATAGTACTTACTGCAAGGTAATTGGACTGTATGTGTACCTTTAAAGTATCTTATACTAATGCCTGATATCTAAGAAGCCAAATGTTTCGAATTTACAGTTCAATTTTGCCCCCCCCCTTGGAGCTCCTAGGGGGAGGGCAAAAAAAATGTTTGCGCTTCGAGCAAATATCGCCCCCCCCCCCAGATTTATTCTGTATACGCCCTTGTTGACAATTACTAGTGATTAAAGTATAGACAGTTTCTTTACCCCTTTTCTTTTCCTTGAACTTTATAACTAGGAAAAGTAAAAATGATGTTTCAGTTTTGACTTTTTAGAAAAAGATATTATCGCATAATGAAGACTTCTCTTTGTCGCCAGCAGTTCAGATAAAAAGTAAAAATTCTTAAGAAAATTCGAGAATTTATAAGAAATTCTCATTTTCTATATTTATTATCAAATATATGTCAAAACTCAAAGTCGGTAAAAATCCTTTCAATTTCCCGGTGAACTGGAGTGTGCATATTTTCAATTAATTTTTGCAATGATCAGTTTGCATATTTTGCGCTTGGGTCAATTTATAGGATTTGGGTCAAAATTATCTGGGAGGATGCGAAGTTGATGAAATCTCATCACATCTTATTGAAGTTTTTAAACCCAGCTTATTTTCACTCATTTTATTGAAAGGTAAAAATTAAATGTCGGCAATANTCAAATCGTAACAACTATTCAATCTTCAGAAAACTGATTTCTTAGCTTGACAAATTTATAGCTTCATCTAAACATTTTTTGTTAAAATATAAATATAAGAAGACCGAGATTAATGGGGAAACATGAATGGCGGAGACCCTTCTCCGGATCATTTTTCATATTTTCCTGCTCCCCTCCCCACCTCCCCAGTTTTCGCAGATTTACTTTTAACGAAAATATGCAAATTTCGTCGCAAAAGTCAATCAGGAGTTTGCAAAAGTCTTCGTTAAAATAAAGCTGTTATGCAGCTGTTAAATCTTCAAAAATCTGAAAAAATTAGCCGGGTTAGTAAGTTAAAATTAAAGGTATTACCCCCCCCCCCTCTCCTTACTACCCCTCCCCATTCTTCACTTCCTGTTCTATTATCCCCCCGCCACTCCCTTTCTCCAAATTTCCTTCCTCATTAAAATGTCACTCTGACTTTGTTTTGAAATAATGTGTTATTTTTGATTTAAAAATTTCTTTCTTCCTCTGAGCTTTCAAATATTTATTTTAAATTTAGCAGGTTACCCTGTTAATTTAACATGTTACCCTGTTAATTTAACATGTTACCCTGTTAATTTAACATGTTACCCTGTTAATTTAACATGTTACCCTGTTAATTTAACATGTTACCCTGTTAATTTAACATGTTACCCTGTTAATTTAACATGTTACCCTGTTAATTTAACATGTTACCCTGTTAATTTAACATGTTACCCTGTTAATTTAACATGTTACCCTGTTAATTTAACATGTTACCCTGTTAATTTAACATGTTACCCTGTTAATTTAACATGTTACCCTGTTAATTTAACATGTTACCCTGTTAATTTAACATGTTACCCTGTTAATTTAACATGTTACCNTGAAAAAAAAGAAATTCTTGGGGAGGGTAAAGAAACTGTTCAAATATAATTATAAGAGAGGGTAGAAGAGATGTTTAAAAGGGAAGAAGGGTAGAGAAACTGCAGTTCAAAGGTTAATTTTGAAATTTTTGTTTTTGAATTTTTAAATTAGCAACCAACAAGCAAGCCAAGTAATGATGTATAAATATTTAGATAAGTTCAGTTTAGTTTTTTCGATTAACTTTCAGAAGTAAAAAATACGTCATCCAACGTCGCGTCGGAGTAAAATTAGTGTTAAATATTTTCCAAGATTGCTGAATAAAAATATAAATTGGAAGGTCTCCAAGTCTAGGGGAGAGGGAAGGCATCATTAAATTCGCATTTGCTCAATTTCTGCAAAACATGAAGGGGGGGGGGCGCGGGGTTTGCCACAGTTTTAGATCTAAGTGACAGAGTGTAAAATGCAAAATAAAAATCAGAAACTCACATTTTCCAATTGCACAAAAAAACTATTTTTGAATAAAATTCTTTTGATAATTTTTAAATTATTCTTCTTAGCTAAATGTTTTAAGTCCGATGCATTTTCTATTAAAAATGAAAATTATCAATAAGAAATGATAATTTGATTGGCAGATTTCAGCAAACATATCTTTGATTGGCCTAAGTGGAAGGTGGGAGGGGGGATGATATTGATGAAAGGATGATGTCTCTATCTTGATATATCTATAAGATAAGCGGGTTAACAGTTAACAAGTCTAAACGCGAATTAAATTTGAATGTTTTTAGTTCTAGTTGAGTTGCATTCAGCAACCCATGAGAAATATTCAAACTTAAATTTGTACTTTCTCTTGTTTAAAAACAAAACAAAGTGTAAACAACTATTATTTCAAAGTTCATTTCTCTTCATTTTTTCAATTTCTAATTTTAAATATATTTTCGAATTGGAAGAAATCAATATTTTCAAACTTATAAATTTCAAGATTGTAAATGGCGGCCGACAAATCGTTTTGCAAGGTGACAAAAATAAATCGAATTTCGGCTTGAAATGCATTTACTAGGCTTAGACACATTGAAACATGTCAAATACTTCATTAGTATCAATAGTATACTATATATAGCAGCTGTTTGTTGGTTTATTAGTATCAATAGTATACTATATATAGCAGCTGTTTGTTGGTTTATTAGTATCAATAGTATACTATATATAGCAGCTGTTTGTTGGTTTATTA